ATCCAGAAATTGGTGGGGCACAAAACATAAGAAATTAGAGTGCTTTAAATCACTCCCAGAGGCGGATGCATTATGGTATTTGTAGTTTCACCCCAGCTAGAGGATCGGAATTTGCCTACCCCTGCCTTATGCCATGGCCATGTGCCAAGCCATCCTGAGGGTCAAATCACTGATAGGCGATATTGACCTACCACTATAACGGGCAGCCTCACTGACCAATAGGAATATAGATGCCTGCACTGTATACCTGCAGCAGTCTTGGTTTTGATTAAATTAATTAAATAGAATCAGATGCTCCAGATTAGGTGCCAAAGATAAGAACCACCTTAGGCAATATACAGATGGAACGAGTTATTTAACCCTCGGACATCTAGGGTTTGGTGTTCTCTTTGCTCTTGACGTGTGGTGAAATCATGCCAAGATCAATAAATGTCTCTAAGGCCCTCAGAAAGAAAAGGTATGGATGCCTAGGATTCTGGCAAGAAATTTATAAAGATTGCCAAATGATTTGAAATCGATCATCCCACAGTAAGGAAAATAATCTACAAGTGTGGTAGATTTCAAACGACTGACCGCAATTCGCCCAGGTGCTTTTTTTTTTTAAATTACTGCCGATTTACCCTTGCGATAGTCGGGCAGGATAGGGCCGCCTTACTTAAAATGTACGACGGTTCGATCATCGGCCAAAAAGTTTTGTCCGATGATCGCAAGGTGTATGGGCAGTTTTAGAGACGTGTTCAAAAAGCCTTTGCTATCCGAAAGAACTTTAAGCCCGCATTCACACGAGTAACGGCCGGCCTGTACAGCTGCATGCACGGCCATATCGGCCCTCTCCCGGGATGGACAGGTGCTGCATGTGATTATATGCAGCAGCCTGTTCTTCTTTATGGGAGTACGAGGCCGTACGCCGCCCTACGCTCACCCGAAACTGCACGTCCGTATGGGTGCGGGTGTCCCTGCTCGGACGCAGACAGGCTCCATCCTGTCTGCACACGAGTATGGTCACCTGCATGGACATGCAGTTCGGGTGAGCGTAGGGCAGCTGCGTCCTCCCATAGAGAAGAACAGGCTGCTGCGTATAATCACACGCAGCACCTGTCCTTCCTGGGAGCGGCCCGATACGGCCATGCATGCAGCACGGATCTGTACGGACCGGCCTTTACTCGTGTGAATGAGGGCTAAAGCAAAAAATGCAGTTTGCCATTTGAAAAGTCATGCAAAGATCAGGGCTTTAGGAACAATGTGCTGCAGACTGATCAATTAAGAGTTGTTTGGCCACAGTAACAGTGGACATGCTTGCAAACCAAAAACAGTATTTCAGAACGAAGCCAAATCAGTTATCCCTAGACACTGGGATCCCCCACTCCACCCAGAATTTGTGACTGGTTTTGACACATTGATTATGTGGCATGGATGGAGGCACTAATTCATATCAACCATAACACAATGTTGAAATTACCCGTACTTCGACCTCATGGATACTGTTTAAAGATGGGCAAGCCTATAAGACGCTTATGAAGCCTATGACTACTGGCTCTCCCTCTAAATGGATTACTTTAGACGCTGACTTTCTCCAACCTCAAATACCTGTGGTGGGCTACCCTGCTTGCCCCAAACAAACCTTGGTTCCTGTTTGTTCGCGTTCCCCCTCTAATTGTTCAATTTAAACACTTTACTAGGCTGCCCCTTCACCTCCTTTTCTCCATTCTGCGCTTGTACCACTACATGGAATTCCTTGATCCCTTTCTGAAATGCGTTATCCCTCACACTGCATATTTTGCTAAACTGCCCCAACTGGACCATGTATTACCTGGTTTTGGTATAGTTATCATTCACCTTTTTCTTTGTTATTTAGTGATTATCTTACCTGTACACTGCCCCAACTGTTTACATGTCAATAAAATATTTTTAAACAAAAAAAACAACCCCCACAGTATTTCAGGAAAAGATCATAACAGCTGTAGAGCATAGTGGTGGAAATGTTATGGTTTGGGGTTGCTTCGGGACCTGGGCAGCTCACAGTCAAGTCATTGTTCATCATCTCCAAGTGTGCTTGATGAGAAGGTGAAGTCATCGGTCTCAAATTTTAAGAAAAAGGAGTCTCAACATAACTACACCAAGGAATGTCTTAGTCAAGAATGTCTTAGGCTGTCCTAGTCAAAGCTCTGATTTAACTGTCATTGCAAATTTATTGGGCAGTTCATGCAAGGAAACCAATACTAGCTTTTTGATGCCAAGGGTATACTTTATATCACCTTAATCGGTAGGCAATGTTTGTATAGAGAACTGTTTGTGTTCAAAAAGTCAACATTTTTCATGGGGTTTACTTAATTTCAAATCCGACTCTATAAGCCGCATGGGGTCAGTGGCAATATCCAATGGAAAGCTCAAAGCAGTGATACAAGGAGGTAGAGGCAGACTTTTCACCACTGATTGGGTGAGGGCCTATGTTCAGGGAGTCACAGACATTGACCACAGCATTCTCCAGCAAACACACAACGTAAAGAAAAGCACCGACAGATAAATGGCTGTACGTGTCTAAATGTTTATTTTTCACAGAATCCATGTGATTTATTTTATTGTTTATCTTTATTTTACAAGCACTGTACGTATCTTTGGTCCATTGTAAACTTTTCTTACATAAAGAGAACAGCAATTTTCCATCTATTGGAAACTTCCCATTTCTTTTTCCAGTTAAAACAAACACACAAAAGAAAATACAAAATAGCATACATAATTCAACATTAAAGTACCAACATTTGAGATTGAATAAAAATACACAAAAGAAAAAACAAAAAAGGGATGAGTATATATATAAAACAAAATGTCACATTTTCTTTATTTTCATAGCAAGTAGTGCATTTAGAGGTCTCTAAAATCCTTCATTTCCTATCTTAGGTAATCTGTCTGTCAAGACAAGAATGCACGAAGAGGGATTCCTTATTAGTATGCAGCAGCTCCTTACTTGCAGGTAAGCGGTGTCTGGAGATAGGTGTAAAGCGCTCCTTGACAACCATCTGGTGAGAAAAAATAAAACAAGAAAAAAGGTACCACTCTGATTTGCTGCCTCACGTGCTCTTCAGGTGGGACAACAGAGTTATGTGAATACATGAAACTGGTTCCCATAGAATGACTTGCTACTGCTTTTTCAGGACAATCTGGTTCAAAGCAAAAACCTGCAGCTAGTCAGCGAAATCCTTTAAAAGCTGTCTGCTTGAAATTGTAGTTTCCTAACAGCTGTAAGGCTATGTACTGTCCACAAAACACACCATTATATCCCATTTTTAAGATCATTTATAGGATTATACAACAAAAGTGATGGTTTTCAGAGATGCTATCCAAGTGTTGGCATTCTCTATCAGAATGATTGCGCCGTAACAGGAGGCTAATGAAAATGCTGGCTGACACTGAACTCATCCACTGCAGGCAACTTCAACAACAGTAGATGTCAACAAGCTGGCGGAATATAAATTTTCATGACTTCTGCGTTCCAGATGTCAATCAACCACCATTCCTACTCAACCACAAGTCCTTAACATCATGTAAACTTAAGGCATTTATCAAAACACACACGGGAGATAGTGTAGGTCTGACCAGGGTGCCAGAGGGACTTCGTTATTTATCATATTGCCTCTAAAAGTTCTCCTGTTATCAGTGCAATGTAAACTTTGTATATTTCCAGCTACCACGAGTGCCTGTGGGGAATGGAGAACAGATGGCACAGCTGGGTAAAGCCAAGATATTCTGCTTGCACAATGACGACCACATAACTGGTCCAAAGGTTGGCAAATTGCATGTGAAATAAAAAGAAAAAGCCAAACATTGTCCGATGATGCCACATCTGTATCCTCCTAAAGTATAAAAAGTGTGTGATGCAAGTAGGAACTAATAAGATATCATGTCTTTCATCTTCTCCTTCTCCCAGTAAAATGACAGCTGGAGGTGAGTGGTTGCAATGGGCAACACAACTCTTTGCTTTCCTTCATTTGAGATGAGGCTCTATATCATTAAATGCCCTTTCCAGATAAACTGTTTTTTTATATTTTACACTAGCAGAACAATAAACCCTTTCCAGCAAGGTTGAGAGCTTTATAAGCTTTGTTAGAGAAGGTACCACTACTGCTTGTTACATAGACAAAACAAGTTATAGAACACAAATGTGCAAGAGCAATGTGAAAAAACAAAAAAACAAAAAACAACAGGGAAGGAAGTCTATAGCAAGACTACAATCTAGACATTGCCTGGACTATTATTGTCGTGGAACATGCAGCCTGAGCCTACTGAAAAACCAGGACTAGACGTGTCTGCAGCCCACACAAGACTTTGCCTACTTTACTTATATTAAACACACGGGACCACATAGCATCAAAGCTGAATTTCCACCCCCCCCACATCTACACATAACCCCAGTTTGTGACTGCCCCCTCATTCTCTGTTACATTACAACCAGAAGATCCTTAAGCGAGTTTGTCAAGATTACAATGTTACAGAGAAGCCTGAGACGACGTAAAAATCTTTTATATTTTGAAACCCCCCACTTCCCTCGAGGGCCTTCTATTTCAATCCCAATATTTATTTTAGAAGAACTCTAAGCTTCCACAATGGAAACAATTCATCAAGAGGGCTTTGTATTGTGTGGCACACTTACACTAATATATGTATAAATAACTTTATCTAATTAGAACTAACCAATTCCCAACGATATCACATATGTTTCTCGCCTAAGCCACTCCCCCACTTCTTAAAAATGCTGACAGTGCCAATTAGGGAGGGATTACGTGTAGAAAAAAAAAACCAACAAAAATGTTGACAATGACTCGAAAGCCAAAATCAGCCAACATTTGCAAGACTCTAAAACCATTTTATGAAAAAAGTTTGGTCTACTTTTTCCATCATTTTAAAATGGGAAATGTACAAATATCAATGTCCGAGTCCTTCAACACAGTCACTAGTCCCCAGACCAAGTTTTCCAGTAACTGTTCCTTCTTGAAAAGTAAAACCCGAAAAACCTAAAAATCAGAAGTAGGACCTTATCCTGCTGTAGGCCATCAAATAATGGCACGGCAGTTCTAGTAAGTCTTTGTGCTTGCATCACATTCTCAGTAAGAGCACCTCCTCTGATTGGTTCTGTCATTTCCCATCACATACACACAGCAATGATCAGACAGCAGTCATAAGGTGACTGTGGACAGCAGACTATCTCTTGGCACATATCATTTGCAGATGGAAAGGTCCATATCTTTACATGGGCTGTAAGATAGTAATATGGACAAAGTTTTAAAGTGCTGGATCTGACATGGCATGAAAGTCAGTGCAAATCACTAGAAATCTGTCAAAGTTACTGCAAAGGAAGGAAGATAATAGTATCTATTCTACAAGGATCTGTCTGTTTACAACAGAAACTACATTTGTACAATATTCTGGTTTTCCAGATTCACAAGATGCAGCAGCAGGTGCTGCAAATGGACTGAATACAAAGGAAATGAGGGGAACATAAATATAAAAGTAAAAATTGGGATATAGAAATGGTAGAAATAGTGTCGTCTACGGATTCCACCCACTCTACTCCACAGTCACAGACTTGGCTAAGTTTCTTGGACAATCCACCTATGGAAAGAGGAAGGTATTGGTCAGTCAATCCAGGATCATATATAGAACAACCAGAACCCTTTGTTAAGCTTGCAGCTAGAAAGCCGTCTTACAGGCACCAACAACTTACATCATATCCTCTGAGAACAGCAAGATGGAAGGCAAGGAGTTGTAGGGGGATCACACTCAGTATTCCTTGAAGACAGTCCACTGTGTGAGGAACCTTAATTGTACGTTTGATTGTGTTAATAGTTTCTGTGTCCTCCTTGTCACAGATCACCACTGGACGTCCCTATGAACAGTTTGGAAAATAAACATGGTAAGCAAAAGGTCATGAAACTACAGGTTTTAGATCAGCCTTAAATTTTAGCATACTATGGTCTTAGACCTACCTGTCTAGCAACCACTTGCTGGAGAGCATTCTGGCACTTGATGTAGGAATGATCCCTCACTATAATCATGATGACCGGCATAAGTTTGTCTACCAAGGCCAGTGGACCATGCTTCAGCTCCCCAGCCAAGATCCCTTCTGAATGCATATATGTGATTTCCTTAATTTTCTACAAAGAAAAATAAAATAAAGTTGGTTACTAAGAGGCAAACAATTGTGGGAAGCAGATCTGCATCTAAAACAGTAACCCCAGGACAATGTCAAACAAAAAAAAACATCTTTTCAGGGGAAAAAATAAATAAAAAATTAGGAGTATTGAGGACTTCATAAACAGGGACACGTGGAAAAATAAGAAGCTATGCCCTGCTGTGTGGCCATTTCTCCTACTTCCTAGCAGGACAGGTCTGATTCATGACACCATGCAATGGGAAGTTCCCCGATTTACCCCATGGAAACGTAGATGTTGAGGGGTTATGTGGGCACAGACAGGGAGTGTCATGTCCTGGACTGCTCCTTATCTGCACCTACATTTCTAGGAAAAAAACTAGAATGTTCATTAGCTAAGCTGGATACACAATTCTGAACTTTCAATTTGTGAGTGGTCCTATGCCTTTGACAGAAGTTGATTAGATATACTTGCTGAAGGGACATGCTGGCAATTAATCAGCTATGCAGTGCCTGCAGCCAATAGCTGCCAGCACTGTTCGGGTATTCTGGCAGTGGTGCCAGATATACATATCGGGAGATTTGTTCCCCCCACGCTGTGAGTGTGGATGGAGGACTAATTTTTTTTTTTGTTAAGTTACAAAAAAAATTATATTATAATATATTATATATCTATATATATCTATATATATCTATATA